CAATCTAAATATAATTAAAGGTAAGAACAATCATAAAAACTAAATTATTACAACATAAATAATTAAGTTACAAACGTAAAATTTTAATTTTTTTAAATATATAAGAAAAATAATTAAAAATTAAAAAATAATTGGTAACATAAACAAGTGAAAAGAAACGTAAAATTAATATCATTTGGTGTAAAATGGGTATAAATTGTCATAATATGATAAAAAAAAGTTATGAAATTTTAAACATGATGAAAGAACAACCATAATAATATATTACTATAATGTAAATAATTATATTGGTAACTTAAAATTTAATTAATTATTATTTTATAAATATCTAAAAAAATAGTTAGAAATTAAAAACATAAATTGATAATATAAACAAGTGAGAATAAACGTAAATTAGTACCATTTAGCATAAAATGGGTAAAAAGTGTTATAACATATTAAGAAAGAGTTATGACATTTGCAAACAAAATGAAAAGTATAAAAAAAAAATCATAAAAAAAAATTATTATAAAGGTAATAATTATGTTAACAACATAAAATAATAATTATTTATTATTCTTGTAAATATAAAAGAAAATAGCTAAAATTAAAAATAAATTGATAACGTAAACAAGTGAGAAGCAATGTAAAATTAGTATCATTTGGAATAAAATGTGTTAGAAGTATTACAACACACTAAGAAAAAGTTACAATAATTTCAAACATGATGAAAAGCAATAACAACAATAAAAATATAATATTGCAACGTAAATAATTATGATGACAATGTAAAATTTTAATTAATTATTGTTAATGTATATATATATATATAAGGAAAATAGCTAGAAATTAAAAAAATTAGTAATGTAAATAAGTGAGAAGAAACGTGAAATTAATATAATTTTGCATAAAATTAGAAAGAAGTGTTGTAACACATTAAAAAAAAGTTATGATAATTCTAAATATAATAGATTATAAGAATAACCATAAGAAGATATTATTATAACATAAATATCCAAGTAGATAACGTAAAATTTTAATTAATTATTATTTTTATAAATATATAAGAAAAATAGCTAATAATTAAAAAGTAAATAAGTAACGAAACAAATAAGAAAAACATAAAATTTGTATTATTTGGCATAAAATAAGAAAAAGTTATGATAATTTTAAATGTAAAGGAAGATAAGAATAACTGTAAAATATTATTATAACATAAATAATTAAGTAGATAACGTAAATTTTTAATTGATTATTGTTTTAATAAATATATAATAAAAATAACTAAAAATTAAAAAACAAATTGGTTACATAAACAAGTGAGGAAAATGTAAAATTTGTGTCATTTGCTATAAAATGGCTAAAAAATATCGAAGCACACTATGAAAAAGCAATAACAATTATAAACATAATTAAAACTAAGAAAAACTATAAAAAGATATTATTGCAACGTAAATAATTAAGTAGGTAACGTAAAATTTTAATTAATTATTATTTTGTTAATATACAAAAAAAAAGATAAAAATTAAAAAAAATAAATAGGTAACATAAACAAGTAAGAAGAATCGTAAAATTCATATCATTTGATGTAAAATAAGTAAGAAGTGTTGTAATACATATTAAGAAAGAGTTATAACAATTTTAAACGTAATGGAATGTAAAACCAATCATAAGAAGATATAATTGCAACGTAAATAATTAAGCAAGTAGCATAAAATTTTAATTAATTATTATTTTTTAAATATATAAGAAAAATAGATAAAATTTAAAAAAAAAAAACAAATAGGTAATGTGAACAAGTGAGAAAAAGTATAAAATTTGTATCATTGACATAAAATGAGTAAAAAGTGTTATAACACATTAAAAAAGTTATGACAATTCAAAACTTATTGGAATGTGAGAACAATGGTACGAAAATATTAATGTAACGTAAATAATTAAATTGATAATATAAAATTTTAATTAATTATTGTTTATGTAACTATATAAAAAAATTTTAATAAATAAAAAAAAAAATTTTGTAACTTAAACATGTGAGAGAAAATGTAAATTCCGTATCATTGGCATAAACTGTGTAAAGTCTTTTAATATAATAAAAAAAAGTTATGATAATTCTAAATATAATGAAAGGGAAGAACAATTATAAGAAAATATTATTGTAAGATAAATAATTAAGTTAATAATGTAAAATTTAATTAATTAATATTTTTGTAAATATATAAAAAATAAATAAACAATCAAAAATTTATTAACGTAAACAAGTAAGAGGAACAATAAAATTTTTCTCATATTTGAATGCTATCATTAAATCATTTTTATTCAAAAAATTTATTGACTTAAATATTCATATAGTAATTTTATTTTTTACTGTAAGTAAAAATATTTATGTAATAGCAAAAAAATGTCACATCTTAATCAAGTGGTGTTTCAAATATGCTGATTTTTTTTTAATAAAAAGACACCAAAATTTGCAATCAAATTATTTATAAAAAATCATATAAATAAAATAGTAAAATGGTAGCTTTCATTTTTATGATTTATGTTAATAAATTTCTAAGACTAGAAATAAAAATTATACAAATAAAATTATAAAATATATAACATAAATAACTAAAAAAATAATTATACAATAAAAAATATAACATAAAGTAATTGATATTTTAAAATTAAAAAAATAAAAAATTATTAATATTAATGCTAAAATTTGTATTAATTATTATTGTAATATTGTTATTTGTTAATAATGAAGGAATAGCAAAAATATTATTTATTAAAATAATATATAACATACTATAGTTGAATTTTTATTTTAATGTTATTATTTATAAGAATAGATGAAAACAAGTATAAAATACGTAATTTATAATTTTTTATTTGTTAGATAAATAAAATAAATAAAATAAATTTTATATATTTTTAGTTAACTTATTAACTTGTTTTGTCATTTTTCATTTTATTTTTTATAATTTTTTCAATTTTTTATGAGATATCATGATATCTCATAACCTTAAAATAAGGTCAATAAATTAAGATCTTATTAATGGCAAACCCCACAAAATTATACTTCAACAAAAGAATAATTGTATACTTACATCAAATTTTGAAAGCTTTTGTATATAGGTATTTGACTTATACTAAAGTTCAAATCTTGATATCTTTAAATATAAAAAAGTAAATTTAAATTTTCTTTCATTTTACAAAAAAGAAATTGTATATTTATATGAGATTTAATTTTTTTTATTTGAAATTATAAAAAAATTGATTATGATTATTAAAGTTAAAAGTTTAACCATCAAGTTGGCATATCAAATTTCATCATTGAGCAAACGGTTACATTGAGAAACTGTTTCTGATGAAATCAAACCACTTGGGATGTGGTATTATCTAAACAAAAGAATTTCCCAAAAGTCACAATGTTAATTCACGGAAAGAGCGTAAAGATTATTTGACGGGAGAAGCAAAATATGAAAATATTTTCCTGTACCAGCTTTTTATCTAATTAATTACCAGCAAGGCAAGATATTGACTTGGGGGTATCAAATGGTGGGGGAACTCAGACCAAGGACAACTACAGAACTTCACCACTTAAATCATTATACGGGCATATAAGTCAAACATCAACTACCCAAGTTGCTCAGTGCTTTACAGCATCAAATGATTTTCTGCTTTGGGAGTTTTCACATCAATCGTGTCATCAGTAAGTAGTAGGCTAACCTCACATTGTTGAAACTAAACTTTACCCATGTACAGAAAGCGAGGCTAGCTCCTATAGGGTTAAAGCACACAATCTCCAAATCATGTACTTCAGCCAAAAATCATCAATCCTAGCCTAGAATAATTATATATGGAGATCATCATTATCACTTCCTTTTCTCTGTTGTTGATCATTCGTTCATTCAACAGGTTTGAATTATCGTTTGCCCCCACCGCCTTTAAGAACATGCGTGCGCACGTACGGTCACATTTTTATCATTGTTCTTGTTCATGTTCATGTTCATGTCATCTTGGCCACTATTATTGTAGGAATGGTATCGCCATGAAGGAGAACTGATGTATCCAATCCCTATCCACACCGGGTCACACGAGCTTTCTAGCATTTAGATACTAAAATAAGATGAGTGAGAAAGGCATCTGTACCACTAATTGAGATCAATCAACTCAAATTGGTAAAAAGCCTCAATCTTTATGCATGAATTCTCTTACCTCTTTACAAAGTACAAAACCTCTCTCCCCATTAATTATTGATTCCTATTCTTTTCTCAACTTCTTCTTTCCAATCTATTCATATCCTTAAAACCCCCTCAACCCAAGTACTATCTTCAAAATTTGAGTTCTGATCATCATGTAACCCCCTTGTAAAACGATAAAAAAAACTCACCACCATCAATGGTGAGATGTTGAAAGGGGAGGAGATGGGAGAGAAAAGGAGAAATGTAAAACACACTTGGACTAATCTATAGTTCAGAATCTTTTCCTTTATTTTTCGAGTCCAAGGAACCTAGTGAAGAAATGTACTGTTAATATGGTCAAATTTAGCTGCACTGACTTATTTAATTAGTGACCTTGACCCATTTATTGAGCGGGCTCTGGAGAAACAAGAATTGCATAGGAAACAACAATGTTTTTTGCTTGGACAGTGCGTCAGTCGTTCTCTTCCAAATCACTGTCACTGTTACAAAATTATCCAACAACCCCGGTCGAAAAAAAAAAAAACCCATAATTCCACGTTTAGTACTGTAGTTTATCGTATAATATATTTTGTTCAGTCAAGCACGTTTCTTTTAAAGTTAATCTAGAAAGAAAAGAAAATGGGAGGAATGCTCCATGGATTTCAATTTCAAGCATCTTTTCTCCTCTTCTATATGCTTTTTAGCCGTTCTTAATTAGATTAAACTTTCTGACAAAGTGTTTGTTTGCAGGGTTGAATGGGGAACTTAAACTACTCTACAAAGTTCAAATACGAGGGCATACAGTTAGAGGGATATAAAGTAACAGGACCAACTTTGTACTTATTTAAATGATCATTAACCCTCCGATTTGGTTCCTATCTTTGATTGATTGATGATTAAGGAAATACTTTTTGAGTGTTCCAATTTCAAGTCTTTTACCATTGCTCTTTTGTATGACCAATAAGAGGGCCATTTGTGTGACTATTCTAGCTGTGCCACCTCTTCAGCCTATAATTCATAGGCTATTGTACAATTGATACCAACCCCATCTAAGAAAATTCTTCTAGCCAAGCTACGTATAAAGGCTGATCGGGGCATGTGCAGAAACTCAAATTGCGGTGTCTGCTTTCTGGTTTTCGACTTTCTAGGTGTAGTTCGAACCCTGTTTTAGACCCCTGAAGCCTATAAATTTCAGCTTGCCAAGTACCTCCACGTTAACTTTTAACAACTCCCAAAAATTGAAAAAACCTTGACCCAAGGGTCAGAGCTCTACCTGTCGATACACGCACACCCACATAAACACAAAGACCGAGAGCAGCTATATATGCCTCCGGTTACAAAGAGCATGTCTATCCCTATAGAAGAGGACAGTGAGCTGAGACGAGGGCCCTGGACCCTTGAAGAGGATACTCTCCTAACTCATTACGTTGCTCGTTATGGGGAAGGTCGTTGGAATATGTTAGCAAAATGTGCAGGTACCAAAACATTGATAAATTTATTAAACAAGTTGAATTTATTGGTGTACAATAATCTTTACTCTTTTCTTCAGTTGTTTATCCGATATTGTCAATGATCCACTTTTAACCTCCTCAGGTCTCAAGAGAACTGGCAAAAGCTGCAGATTGAGGTGGCTGAATTACTTAAAACCTGATATTAAGCGCGGAAACCTGACTCCCCAAGAGCAGCTCTTGATTCTTGAACTTCATTCCAAGTGGGGAAACAGGTAATTTATCTGTTGATTTAACTATTCGTATTTATCGTTGTTTACCAATGACCTGATATGAAATTCTTCGAAATTTGTTGTTGCTCTAGGTGGTCGAAAATTGCACAACATCTTCCAGGAAGAACAGACAACGAGATCAAGAACTACTGGAGAACGAGGGTGCAAAAACAGGCACGCCAACTTAATATCGAGTCCAACAGCAAGAGATTCCTTGAGGCAGTTCGATGTTTTTGGATGCCAAGATTGCTTCAGAAAGTGGAGCAGACATCCTCTTCTTCCTCCTCTTTGAAAGAAATAAGCTATCAAAGCTCAGTTCCTTCACAATTATCAGACTGCACATATCCTTCATTGTCAACATTTTCCCCACTTCCAAACAAAATAACAGACAATTCAAATAATTCCTTTGAAAATTCAAGTTCAGTCACCAGCCAAAGTCTTTATCCCACAGATTTCATGAACATTTCAGAGCAAACTCAAATTTCCCAACACCTAACAAGTCCAATTGTGTATGCCGATCCTTGTGTCTATAACAATAACCAAATTCTAAATGAAAGTTACAATATTGACAGCAGTGGCTATGGCATGGAGGGTTTCAGCCTGGCATCCATATCAGCTGTGGGCTCCTACGAAAGATCCCCATCTGAATGCCAGATGGTTGAAGGCAACTGGATCTCTAATGAGATGACAGATACTTTATGGAACATGGATGACATATGGCAGTTTGGGGAGTTGGGAGAGATGAGCAACTAGATATGGCCAGGGGGGTAGTACTTAGTCAAAAGTTATCCTGGAACTTGAAGCCCCCCCCCCCCCCCCCACCACATGTCATCTTGACTAAGGAATCATATCGATCCACATTGGAATGAATTTATATGACCCATCATTTAAGATGGTGAAAGTGATTTTCAATGGAGAGCTTTCTATGTACTAATGATATTATTTTACTAGTTGAAAAGCACTGCATGGTGATTAAGACTATCTTTTCTTATTTGGTTATTATCAATTAATAAAATATTTCACTTTCTATTAGCAAATCAAGTCGATTGCTCCCTGAACCCTGAAGAAGTTTCAATGGTGTAGTCAATTCAAGGAAAAGAAGGAAATGACCACTTCAAAAGTGGAGTCACATCCATTTTTTAGACAATTCTAAGCTAGTTACAACGGAAGGGGTTTGGAGTGGGAATATGTATTTGTTTTCCTCCTTTTTTAGGTAAAGGAATGGGAATAGTTAAATATGGTTCTTTGACAAATATAAAGTCCCAAGTACTGTCATAGCCTTTAATAAAACCATAACTAAAATGATAGAGGAAAAGTAATAGTATTTTCCCATAATTGTGGGGAAATTAGTAACCTAATTAAGTAAAGAGATGATTGGCATTTTCTTTGGAAAAAAAAATGAAGAAACAGGGTACTGAAACAATTTTTTTTCCCTTTCAAAATGCATCCATTCCAATGAAACTTCACACAGTAATTTCGAATTGGTTTTTGCACAACACGACCATAAAATGATTATCCCAACCTGGCCTTGGTATCGACGTGAATTATAGCCAAAAATAAAAAGAAAATTTAAAAAAAAAAAAAGGAGAGAGCAATAATAGCGTCTTTAGTTGCTTGGACCTCTTTTGCGTTATTGCTGAGATGAAATTCACTACGCTGATGCACTCAATGGAAGTTTACATATTATGTAGCTAATTAAAACATACAAAACAAAAAAATGGGGGCCCTTCGGAGAATTTTGGAGATTTTAAACCAAATTTCTGATGCAAGCATCTTATATTTGTTTTTTAAATGTTTAATTTTAAAGACTCTGCTAAAATCGAGAGTTAATTACATTGCCAGTCTTAAAATCTTTTCATAACGTTTCATTTGTATTCATAATCTAATTAACTCAATTTCTTCACCTTTTTATTTTTGTTTCAATTATTCACTCATCAATATACTGTTAGAATTTGAATGAAATATTACTAAATTTGATACACGGTTAGGGATAAAGATGCAAATTGTTCAAAGTTTGATATCATGTTGACAGATGGATAAATTTAAAATAAATTCGTAAGTCATGAAAAAAATAATGTTTTTAAAATTAAAAATTATGAAATGATAATAAATTATAATGAAATTTATAGTTAAAATGGATGATATTTTTAAATAAAATGAAGGGATAATATTATGAATTATATCTGAATTATAATAAAATATTTAATATGATATTTAAATTTTTAAAAAGTTTAATATGATATTTAAGTTATAAATTTATTAATTAATTAATTAAATATTTTTATTAATTAATTAAAAAATTCCCCGAGAAAGCATCATCTAAAATTCTTCACGGTACAAATGAGAATAGAGGAAAGAGGGTTTTTTTTTTTTTTGGGTAAGGGAGCAACTGACGGAGGGTAGGAGTTGTAGAAGAGAAGGAAGAATATAATACATAGGCAAGGATCTAGGAAGGACGGAATACTGTTGCCATCGAATTCAATCTCTTGATTCTGCAGATGCTGACATTAAAGCTAGCTGATTGGATGAGTGAATGAATGAAATGAGGTGGTCACCGCTCCTTACATAAAGATTCACCGTATCAGTATCCTATTCTGACAAAATTCCGTAATAGAAATTTCTTTCCTTTTTTTTTTCTTAATTTTTGCGAGAAACAGCCTAGTCAAATCACAAACTTACGCGTACGAAAAGTCATGGGAGACTAAGCATGTGACAAGGACAAACGTGGCAAATGCAAAATGCAAAATGCAAAGTGCAAACCAAAGGTTTTGGTTTGCTGTCATTTCATTTCATTCGTTCGTCGCGAATGGAATTTAGCAGAAAGCTTCTGATACTCGTTCTTTCTTTCTTTCAAGTTTCAATCGAATCACCAGCCTTTAGCTTTTTCACACAAATAAGCGTGAAGAGATTAAACTCTCTCTGCTGCTTCTGCTGCCCGTCAGGAAGACTTACTAGTTCCTATCTCTTATTGGTCCTTACTTTTTTAAACCCTCAAATTGGAGCACAAGGTTTCCTTATATATATATATATATATATATATATATATATATCACAAAAAAATTGAAGTCAATTGATGCATGAACTGAGCCTTTTTCAAAAGAGGTAGGGGTACCTGTCACTCTCATCAGTCTCAGTCAAAGTTCTGACCATGGAGACCCAAAATCCAAATATGTCATGTCTCGTTTCTAATTGGAACGGATAAAGCCATCTTGAACTAAAGGATTAATGCGCCCTACATACTACTACCTGCTAGATACTCTCTTTTAAATGCTCGTTTAACGCATAATGTGAACACATTTCTTTTTTTTTATAGTAAGGCAGACGTTTTTCTAGGTTTTCCTTAATCTTTACCTCAATCTAATTTTTTTTCTCATGATTTTGTAGGTTCACTCACTAGTATAAATACGATGTATTCGAGATTTTATTTTTAAATTGTTCCTCACAAAAATCAAATCATACCAAATGATTGAAGTAACTTTTATTAAACTAAATTATACAAAAAAACGTAGTAATTGCAATCAATCTAAAGCAAAGTTTGTTGCAATCAAGCCATGGCTTAAATAAAAATTCATTATCTTTCTCTCTTTAATACTTTCAAGTTCAGGTATCTTTTGAAGAGCAGAAACGGAAAAACATTGGTTTAATCCGTGCCGATGCCTACTAATTGCCTTAAAAACGATTAATTTTCTGGCTTGGACCAGAAAATTGAGAAATTAAAACTAGCAACCATCAGATCATCTTGGCATGCTTGTATTACTCGTACACCAAATGTTTTGTATAAATATAAAAACTTCTCCCAAGGGGAAAAATAGAAGGAATAACTACCTGGTTTTAAGATCAAATTGCCATTCACGTAATGCAAAAACGGGAGAAATTCAATCTGTTTTAATTTTAAACACCTCAAATCTTACTAATCAAGAGAGAAAATAAAAATCAAATACAGCCCTCTAATGGTGAACAATCATTAACATTAAACAATGAAAAAAAAAAAACCGAAAAAGTAGCAATAATGTCAGTATCTCCAAATAGTTCATTAAAAAATCCTAGTGATAAACCACTAATTACACCACACATTAATTGAAAGGGAGCAGAATTAATTCCTTACAAGTAGAAGCATCTAAACCTTAAAGACTGTATAACTTTCGGCAAACTTTCAACAAGTTTCCCAGTGAAAAAAAAGATTTAAATAAAAGTGCTTTGAATTCATTAAAGCTAGTAAACTGTAGTATGACTTTCTGTCAAAAAGCCAAATAAATATCTTTTGTGCAAGATAACGTGTTCATAACTGCATTCTTGTTGTGCTGTTCATGGGTTGAGAACCTATTTCCCATTCTTACCATAGGTATCCTTAAGCGTAACCGTTCGGTTAAAGACAAGTTTTTCTGCAGTAGAGTCCTTGTCAACAGTAAAGTAGCCTGCAATTGAAAACCAAAACAAGTATGACAAATTAATACACTACAACGAACCAGAAACTTCGAAAAAAATACCCAGCCTTTTAACCTCTAGTAAAAGTCAGAAGGTACTCCATATAATATTATAAGAACTAAGCACTTTCTAGGCACTTTCATCATATCCGTTATAAGCCATACTCAGAAAAAATTATTAGAATCAGTCACTATGCCAAACTAAGAAAGAGGTGCCCATTAGACCACTGCACATACACTGATATTATATGGATGTTATTTCTTTTAAGTCATCCAAGAATTCAGAAAGCAAACAACCACACAAGACTTATCAAACCTACCAAGCCTTTCAAACTGAAATGTATCCCCTATAGCAGCATTCCGAAGTGCTGGTACTGCATATGCAGTAGGTATCACCACTTTGGAATCCAGGTTCAGATCAGCGAGCCAATTATCAAGTTCAGCAGGATTCTGAAGAAATAATTTAAGTCATAAGAATTCAAAATACATTGTGGCAGAAAGCAAGAAAAGGATCCAATTTCCCAATAAATAACCGCAAACCTCAGAATTAAAGAGTTTCTCAAACAATCGGACTTCCACCTTCAATGGATCAGCCCCTGGGAAAGGTTCAGCAACCCAGTGGAGAACCCCCTGTGTGAAATTTTCCAAAAGAGCAAAGGAATAAATACTAACTGGAAAAGAACATAAATTGTACAACCCTTGGAGAATATGATTCAAACAATTAGAATTAATCAGAGAATTCCAGTATGACTTCAAAAGATAAATAAATAAATAAAAACCTTTGGCTTGCTTTTCTTAGAAGGATCATATTCAGCTCGAATCTCAAGCACAGTCTCGTTATCATCAGCCAATACTACGTCTGTGCATTTTATGGGAAATGCATATCTGTCCAAATGGAAACATGGAAACTATTAAATAAAAATCTAATACTCATAATTGACAACATATATCCAAAAGCATGTGTCTGTGTGTACATATTCATACCTTAGTAGGACTGACTTTCCAGGAGCCAACCCATAGTAATCTTTAGAATCTTTCATCCGGAAATCTGAGTGCTCAATGTATATAACATTTGAAAAGGGTACCTAAAGCCCAAGCAGAACAAATGGTTATGGTCACTGGCTAGAATAACATAAAATTTGGAGCAAATTACAATTTGAAGTTAATTTATGCTTTTCATTGATGTAAGAGATTCATTAGCATATCAATACCATTCCAACATGATTTTTATTAAAAAAAACCGCACAGACTATTCAAATTTAAAACAACCTAAAAACATGTCACTCTTATTTTTTCCCACCTTGTAGAAGGCGGATGTGTCATCTGCTTGAGCATCTGGCCATTTCTTTGCATCAAGATCCATAACAGAGCCA